ACTTAGAGGGAAGTACTGCCCAGAGTGCATAGGCCTAGATGGTGTATGTGGCCAGAAACAGTAATTTCACATGTTGACATTTTTGTTCAAAAAAGGATGTAATTTGTAGCAATACTTTTTGACTTACCTTGTTTTTATCCATCTAAAAGATACCTAAGTTCTTAACTTTAGACATTTTACAGTATCCCTCCCTCTTTATACTTGAACTCTGATATTCTTGTAGAACTTTACTGTAATGTAAGCCATTTTATGCTTGAAAGTCTTGTTCATTACCCTATCGTCTATGAAAAAATAGACATTTTAATGTTTTTCAATTCCCAATTACTCTGTAAAGTTTAAAGTGTTTAAAACATGATTACAAACTTTAATACAAAGATTACAAAATTTTATAAGTAATCTTAAGTATGTAATAAAAGTACCAGAACCGCCTCTCTGAATGAGATAGATGGGACATTTCCCCTAGTTCTCTGCAAGCTATCCATCCAATGTATCTTTGTATTGTATCAATATTACACAATGTAATAGTGTGTATTATTAGAGTGAAACTGTATAGCACTAGTTTGGTACCTTTCTTCTTTTTTGTGAAACATTTTAAAAATCTAGTATGCATAAATAGATGATGGTGGAACTTATTCCAAAAATTAGGGTGTACCATTGTTATTTTTTGTCCCATCATTATTTTTAATGTTCAGCTGGCAACTTGATTTAAGTCTTCATTTTTATTGGAATCAAAGAGTTGACACCAGTCACTAAAGACATTTTCATTTGTGCAAAGTATGTAAAAAGAATTTAACAAGACGACCATAAAGTACACTTGTTGTTACTCTTTTAAGTATAGGGACCTTGTTTAACCAAATTTATTCAGAAAGTATTAGCACATTGATTCTCAAACATTAGGGTGCATTGGAATCACCTGTGGTGAGCTCATTAAAATGCATTCTGATTACGCCATCACTAGAGTCTGATCCAGGGAGGGCCTGAGAATTTGCAGTTAATAAAAGGTCCCATAAGATGCTGACACTGCTTGTTGGAGGACTACACTTGAGGACCATAAGTTAGGAAAACTGAAATATTGCCCATATCAAGAACACTACAGTATTTTCTGATAAAGTATGTTGATTATGTACTTTGAATACATTTAGTCAAAACCTTGGCACTGCGATTACCTCATTCAATGGCTGGTGTAAAGTTCTAGCACATAGCCAGTGGTTTGTGTTGTCAGAAATATGTGCTTTAGTCGGCCTCCTTTTCTGTTGCACTTGGTTCTTCTATTCAAGAAAGCATTAAACATGTTCATATTTAACTTTACTTCAGAATTCGAATCACAAAATAGTTAACATTGCCATGTATTTTTATGTGAATGGAATAAAATATCGCCATGTTCCACATTTAATAAAAACAGGGAAATTTTTATCTTATATGCTCAACCCAAGGCTCCCTCAGGGGCTTGGCTCTGATCTGGTTTGAACTGGTTCAGTCATGGCTGAAGAAGCAAAACTAGAACACATCTGAATTAAAATTTTTTTTATTATTTGGAGTGCTAACTGGATTGTGAAAAATCATAGTTTATAGCCCTAAAATGGGATATTAAGAACAGGAGCCTGACCCATGACATTGGAACACACATTCAAAGCTGTGTGATTCGAACCATTTTTGTCTGGGGCATTGCTGGGTTTTGACTAAGTCAGTAGAATTGGTTGCTATACAATACCTTTGTTACTCTTGTTTTCTAAGTTTCTGTAAAGGCTTTGATCCTTAGTTTTTCCTGTTCCAGTATCATTACATTGACCATGACTGAACTGGACTGAACAGGTGTGGAGTCGTGCTCAAAAGTAATGCATTCTTTGACAGTTGTTGAGGGATAGAGGAGATTAGGACATTAAGTAAAATTGTCACCACCATATCTAAATTCAGAACACACAAATGACAAGAATATTTAATATCTAATATCATGTTTTGCCCTTAACAAAAAAAAATCTCTGCTATCAATCGATGCCAATTCATAGTGACCCTATAAGACAGGTTTGAAGTGCCCCTGAGTTTGTGAGACTGGAACTGTACAGGAGTAGAAAGCCTTTTAGTTCTCCTGCTGAGCGGCTGGTGGGTTCAAGCTGCTGGCCTTGCAGTTAGCAACCTAACATGTAACCACTTAGCAACCGCTCTAGCTCCTTAATAGTAATATATTAACCACAGGAATAGTTAGGAAGCCTTACCATACTATTTTGTTAAAAGAAGCTTGTGAGCCGTAGTGTTTCTTATCCTCTTTGTTTGCTATCTTGTTGTGGTTTTTAACCTAGAGAAATGCACCTCTTCCGGACCAGTGGTGAGAGTGGCAATGCCGGCAGGTGGAGGGAAGGTGGGGTGGAAAGGGGGAACAGATTACAAGTCTCTACATATAACCTCCTCCTTGAGAGACAAGACAACAGAAAAGTGGGTGAAGGGAGATGTTGAACAGTGTAAGACATGACAAAATAATAATTTATAAATTACCAAACATTCATGAGGGAGGGGGAACAGGGGAGGGAGATGGGAAAATGAGGAGCTGATACCAGGGGCTTAAGTGGAGAGCAAATGTTTTGAGAAGGATGAGGTCAACGAATGTACAAATGTGCTGGACACAATGGATGAATATATGGATTGTGATGAGTTGTACGAGCCCCCAATAAAATGATTTCTATAATAACAATAGTAAAAGGAAGTATAGTGCTTACTATGTGCCAGTCACTGTTTTTAAGTGATTTATATAAAAATTTTCCTCACTCTCATAACAATGAGGTCAGTTACTGTTACTATTTCCCATTTTATACACAGATGGTTAGTTTAAGTAACTCACTATTGATTACATAGCTATAGTGAATATTGTAACCCTAGGAGTCCTGGTGGCATAGTGGGTTATGAGTTGGGATTGCCAACCGCAAGGTCAGCAGTTCAAAACCAGCAGACCCTTCACTAGAGAAAGATGAGTCTTCCTACTCCTGTAAAGAGCTAACACCTCAGAAACCCAACAGGTGCAGTTCTATGTCTTACAAGGTCGCTATGAATGAAAATTGACTCCATGACAGTGACTTTGGTTTTCTGGTATTATAACCCTGGAGCCAGCCTGTCTGGCTCTTGAAACATACATCAGGCTATAATCCTGCAATACTTTAAAGGATGGGTGAGAGCAGATATAAGTTCTGATGCAAAGAAGTTTTAGCAAATTTGAATACGTTGGAATTTATTCTTAAAACTGACTGTATACTTTAGCATATCTTCAGATATCCTTCCCAGTTTGTATTCTTAATCCAGTTGCTTTCTTTGTTTGCATTATTCAGTTTTTATAGTTTCTCAATTTCTGTTGTTTTCAAAAATTGACAAATTGATATGAATAGGTTTTCATACCTAAGTGACGACAAAGGGAAAGAGCCCTCTAGATGGAGTCAGACCCGGAAAGGCCTCGTTTTAGGTGATGCATGTTTGGAAAGAGAAGAAAAGAGAATCCTGAGTTACCAGCAGAAAGGCGGCTTTGGTTATAATACTTATGTTCTCCTTTAAAGAATATTTTTCAGTTGCATTCAGCTCTGCTAGCCTCACAGATTTCTTCTGTGAACAAATCAGGAACTTAATCTCTTAAGATTACCCTGTAAATTTTTTCTCAACTGTAAAATGGGGATAATTTAATTTGTACAGTATATACTTGTGTATAAGCCGAGTTTTTCAGCACTTTTTAATGCAGTTTTTGTGGTAAAACTAGGTGCCTCAGCTGATATTCAGGTCAGCTTATACTCCAGTATATACAGTACTTATAAATAAGACTAAAACAAATAATATAAATGTAAGTTGCATACTATAGTGTCAATGTTCACTAAATGGCTGTTATTAGCTAGTTCAATAAAAGCCTAGATACCTAGTTAAAGATCATGAGAACGTCTAGTCATTCACAGATTAAGCTGTGCTACAGAGCCCATCTAGCTTCCCGTGTTTCAGAAACACATTGTTGCTACCCGAGGGTTCTGAGACGCTTTGCTAAAATGTCATCTGAGAAAAAATAGGTAGGTCTATATGTTTAAAGCTATAAAATAATGCTGATTCAATGGTGAATAAATATATATGATTCATCTTTATTGTAAAATGACCAAGATTGTTTTGTATATTTTGTGCTTTCCTTAATACCTGTGTATAGCATAGCAGAAAAGAAAAGATAAATTCATTTTTCTACAAATCTATTTAACTTTCTAGGAAACAGATAATTTACTTCATATATATATATATATATATATGTCATCAAGTAGCTATGTTAGTGACAGTTTAGAAATTATATATGTAGTAAGATTAATAACAAGAACTTTTTTACAAACCTTTTTTCCTCTTACAGGACAAAAAATATGTATATATACTTAAGAACTATTATTGCAATAGATCTTGTTTCTTTCCCCCATTAAGACTAATCTATTAAAACATATTCTTTTTCTTTAACATTTTCTTGACTAAGGAATTTTGTAACTTTTGCTCATTTTATCCTCAAAATGTGTGCATGCCAAATATGTGTGCATGCCACTTAGAGAGTTAATAATGAACTTACATTTAGATATTTAGAAGTAAAGTCATAATTTCTGTAACTAAGAGATTCTATAACTAAACTGAGATGTTTTGTTGATGTGTTGAGCTGAATGAACTGAATGATTATTTTAATTCTATGAAATATCTGTACTAACCTTCAGAAGATTTCAGTAATAAGTTAATGTATTTAAAATATTTAATTTGGTGCCTTGACTCCCGTTGATTTTTACCATAGTCATCAGTATTATTTTAATGATGTGAAAACAAGTTTATGTAAGGCATCTCAAACAGTGCCTTATACCCTATATGCTTCATTACCTACTAGTCATCTTCCTCAAGTTTATATAACTATTTAAAAGGTATTCTTGGTGACTATTAATTTGTTCAGTATCCAGGAATTGAATATGGCAGATAGTGACTACATTTTTTAAATGATGTAGCTAATGTATTTTTTTCTTTAGCTTCCAGAGCAGTTGTAGCACAGCATGTTGGTCCACCTCCAGGAATAGTGGAAATAGATAGTGAGAAGTTTGCTTGTCAGTGGTAAGTGCTTTACTTTTATTAAGGCTTTGCCCTTGGGAAGAATTCTTTTTGTGAGAGTAGAATATTATTCCATATACCCAAAAGGACAGTGTTAAATCATGTCACGTGTGTGATGCAATCATTTGAAAGGAAAATGCTCACCAGAGTTCAATGAGATTTTGACTAAATTATACCTTTTCAGATTAAATTTTGTGTTATATGTTCAAAGTTACCTCTGACTATAGACATTAAGATTTATCAGATTATAAAGTTTGTTTTTCTAAAGGTTATATGTGGTTAGAATTATATTGGACTGAGTTTCAGAAAAGAAAACTAACATTTGTTATTAATATCTCATCTTCCTTACCAAAACCAAAACTTCTTGCTCATTGATAGTCAATTTTACCTTTTTATGAGTAGTAAACTGAATGAATCAAATGACAGGACAGTCGGTTATCTACAATAAACAACTTGAAAGTATATTTTTGAGAAAGCTGATTAGTCCGAACTCAGTTCCTTTGAGGGTGGAGGGAAATGAGGTAACTTGATTAGGCTTTATTTTCCTATGAATAGTTGCCCTAATATTGTTTAAGTACAAATTTAATTCCCTAGGAAAAGATTGAAACAATAATAGATTTAAATATAACATCACTGTTCAATGATGCACCAAGTTTTAAAATTCCTCCCTTGATTCCTTTCTTCCCATCCTGTAATATTATTTGTCTCCCGTTTCCTGTGCTTGTTACTCTGTCTTCCACGTTTTTGGTGCTCTCATAGCTTTTGTTCCTAAGACGGTTGTCTCTAGACATTACTACTTTGCTTAAGTGAGGTTAATAGTGTTTATGTATCATTTCATTCTTGTGGGTTTTTCTTCAATCTTTTATACTTTGAACCTTTGTACTTGGTGAATCTTTTCCAGTAGTATTGAGAGGTGTCTTATCAAACATTGAAACTAAAATGAAGTTTTTATATGTAGACTTTTTCAAAATCTTGATACAGAAAGGATTATGAAAGTTGGAAAATGTGTCACAACCACTAAAAATAATGTACATATTTTTAGGTACAGATTTGATCTTAAAATTTTCAGTTGTACATTTCACCTGCTTCATATGAGGGGTAGAAGAGAGAATTACTTTATAATTCTTTTATCATAATTATTATTTGATTCATTTTAAAGGAAACATGTATAGTAAGTAGCCAGTTATGTATACCGAGTTCTGGAAATAGTCTTGTGAGGGTAACTAACTTATACATGGAAATTACTTTAAGAAAAAAATAACTGAAGTTTGAATTAACTTATAATGGGTTAGAAAGTAAAGGCGTTCTGAGTTGGGAGTTGGGAATGTGTGGCATGAGAAATGTCATTGTTTTGGGGAGTGGTCGACAAGGTCAGGTAAGTTTTGTTTCCTAAGGAGAGAGCCATGAAAATTTAACCTAGTTGACCGGTCTCCTGCCACCATTTTGCTAATCTGCAGTAGAAACGGGGTGGGAGGGGTGGGGGGGGGGGCTACCTTATCTTTCAATTCTGTCAATCAGTGAACTTTTTGAAGCCTTCTTTTAGCTCATAGGAGCCCTGGTGGTATAGTGGGTACACATTGGGCTATGATCTGCAAGGTCAGCAGTTCAAAACCACCAGCCATTCCTCAGGAGAAAGATGGAGCTTTCTATACCCACAAGGATTTACAGTCTCAGAAACTCACAGTCCTCCTTGTCCTACAGAGTCACTGTGAGTGGGCATCAACTTGGTGGCAAGTTTGGGTGTTCAGAGTTTTGTAGCTCGTAATCAAGACTATCTCAGGATTGTTACTAGAAAGGAACCTGAGTAGATAACCACTAAATAAAACTATTTGTTCTAGGACATTTGTGGTAAGCAGACCAACTTTACATTCACTAAGATGTGAAAAATGTTTTGTATTTGTTGTAATATTTTTTGTATGAAACTAAAATAAGAAAGATTTAGTCATTAACCTCTTTTTAAGTCTGTTAGCATGTATTTTTGCTCATAATGTGAAATTTCATTACTACGTATAATTATCCATTTATAATACAATGCCTTTAAATGGTTTTGGTACCTTTAATTACATTCTCTCCTGTGGTATTAATGCCTTTTATTTTTCTCTCATTTTAGGCTCAATGCTCATTTTGAAGTAAATCCAGATTGTTCTGTCTCTCGAGCAGAAATGTATTCTGAATACCTCTCAACTTGTAGTAAATTAGCCCGTGGTGGGATCCTAACATCAACTGGATTTTATAAATGTCTTAGGTAAGGTACATAGTTCTTCAATTTGAATTAAATGTATTTATATCACTTGCAATACTTGCTCTTTAGAGGAACTAGCAAACATTTATCTACCGTTTTAAAGATCTCCAACAACTTGGTATTTTATATGGTTAGGTTGTACGGTGGTAGAAGTTTAAATAAAAGAGAATTTCAGAAATCACAACTGGCTTTTGTGCTTTGAACATTATGAAGTTTACCAAAAGAAAGAAAAGAGACAGTATAAGATATGATAAATTAATAATTTATAAATTATCAAGGGTTCATGAGGGAGGAAAGAGTGGGGGGTGGCGGAATGAGCTGATAGCAGGGGCTTATGTGGAGAGCAAATGTTTTGAGAATGATGAGGGTAATGAATGTACAAATGTGCTTTATACAATTGGTGTATGTATGGATTGTGATACGAGTTGTATGAGCCCCCAGTAAAATGATTAAAAAATTAATAATTTTTAAAGAAATTTGTTTTCTTACCTGCTGTGCATGACATGACCCCCCCCATTTTAAATCATGCATTTTTTTAAAGTCATGAATAATACGCTATACTAGTATTGTAGATTCAAATATTAAGGTTTTTAATATTTTCTAAAGTTTAGAACATGGGTATTAAATACATGCTGTTTTGTTTTGATGAGTCAAATCTAATAAAACACTTAATAAGTAAAGATTTCTTTTAAATGAGAGTATTAATCCACAATGTATTTTCTGGCTTCCTGGCCTCAAAGAATATAAGAATCATAATGGTTCATAGATAAGTATCAGATAATATGCTACTGCTGTGCATATAAACATTGTGTTAGAAGTCACTGTTTTTTGCTAGTTATCAAAACTAATTGAGCATATGTGTGCTTAACAGAACGGTCTTCCCAAATCACACAGTGAAGAGAGTGGAGGATCCCAGTAACAATGGGCAAGCGCATATTCATGTAGTAGGGGTGAAACGGAGGGCTATACCACTTCCCATTCAAATGTACTATCAGCAGCAACCAGCTTCTACTCCAGTTGTTCGGGTTGATTCTGTTTCTGAGGTTTCTCCAGCTCCTTCACCTGCAGGTATTTGTGTGTGTGTGGTTAATGCTAATTTAATAATTAAAAAGTAAACAAAAAATTATTTTTATATTTTTCAGTGTATAAATTTTTATGTCTCTAGTTGTGTTTTCTTACATGGTCTCTTGTTTTATAATATTGATATAATTCAGAGCTACTCTGTTCATTTCCAAAAATTACTTTCCCTTGTATTAAATAAAATACTTAATTTTTACTTGTAGCTCTTGTATATCATTTAGAAATTTTGACTTTTCCTTCATATTTTCAGGACTCCCTCATGGACCACAAACTGTAGGAAATCCTTTCCAGAGGACTCCTGTTACCAACCAGTCTTCAAATTTGACTGCAACACAAATGTCTTTTCCAGTACAGGGTGTTCATACTGTGGCACAGACTGTTTCAAGAATTCCACCAAGTCCTTCCGTTCTTACCCACCAGCAGCAAAGTGCTCCAGTGACTGTCATTCAAAATAAAGCTCCAATTCCTTGTGAAGTTGTTAAGGCTACAGTAATCCAGAATTCTATACCCCCGTCAGCAGTACCTGTTAGTATTGCTGTTGGAGGAGGAGCTGCACAAGGTTCTGTGGTTCAGAATCATAGTACAGGGCCACAGCCTGTTACCGTTGTGAATTCTCAGACATTGCTTCACCATCCACCTGTAATTCCACAGCAGTCTCCATTACACACCGTGGTACCAGGACAAATACCTTCAGGCACTCCTGTTACAGTAATTCAGCAAGCTGTACCACAGAGTCATATATTTGGCAGAGTACAGAATATACCAGCATGTACTTCTACAGTTTCACAGGGTCAGCAGTTAATCACCACATCACCCCAACCTGTGCAAACTTCATCTCAACAGACATCAGCTGGTAGCCAGCCACAAGACACTGTTATCATAGCACCGCCACAGTATGTAACAACGTCTGCATCCAATATTGTCTCAGCAACTTCAGTACAGAATTTTCAGGTAGCTACAGGACAAATGGTTACCATTGCTGGTGTCCCAAGTCCTCAGCCCTCAAGGGTAGGGTTTCAGAACATTGCACCAAAACCTGTCCCTTCTCAACAAGTACCATCGACGGTAGTACAGCAGCCTATTCAACAACCACAGCAGCCAACCCAACAAAGTGTCGTCATAGTAAGCCAACCAGCTCAACAAGGTCAAACTTATGCACCAGCCATTCACCAAATTGTTCTTGCTAATCCGGCAACTCTTCCAGCTGGTCAGACAGTTCAGCTAACTGGACAACCAAACATAACTCCATCCTCCTCACCATCACCTATCCCAGCTACAAATAACCAAGTCCCTACGGTCATGTCATCTTCAGCTTCCACCCCTCAATCACAAGGGCCACCCCCTACAGTCAGTCAAATGCTATCTGTGAAAAGGCAGCAGCAGCAGCAGCAGCAGCAGCATTCACCAGCACCCCCACCACAACAGGTACAAGTACAAGTTCAACAGCCACAGCAGACGAACACAGGAATTAGTCAGCCTGCTTCTGGTGAATCAAGTTTAATAAAACAATTGCTGCTTCCAAAGCGTGGTCCTTCAACTCCGGGTGGGAAGCTTATTCTCCCAGCTCCACAGATTCCTCCCCCTAATAACGCAAGAGCTCCCAGCCCTCAAGTGGTCTATCAGGTGGCCAATAACCAAGCCACAGGTTTTGGAGTACAGGGGCAAACTCCAGCTCAGCAACTATTGGTGGGACAGCAAAATGTTCAGTTGGTCCAAAGTGCATTGCCACCAACAGGAGGAGTACAAACCATGCCCATCTCTAACTTACAGATATTGCCAGGCCCACTGATCTCAAATAGTCCAGCAACCATTTTCCAAGGAACTTCTGGCAACCAGGTAACCATAACAGTTGTGCCAAATACAAGTTTTGCAACTGCAACTGTGAGTCAGGGAAATGCAACGCAGCTCATTGCTCCAGCAGGAATCACCATGAGCGGAACACAGGCAGGAGTTGGACTTCAGGTACAACCGCTTCCAGCCACTCAAGCATCTCCAGCTGGACAATCACCATGTACTACTGCTACTCCCCCATTCAAAGGTGATAAAATAATTTGCCAAAAGGAGGAGGAAGCAAAGGAAGCTACAGGTTTACATGTTCATGAACGTAAAATTGAAGTCATGGAGAACCCGTCCTGCCGACGAGGAGCCATGAACACCAGCAATGGGGACACAAAAGAAAATGAAATGCAGGTGGGAAGTCTTTTAAATGGGAGAAAGTACAGTGACTCAAGTCTACCTCCTTCAAACTCAGGGAAAATTCAAAGTGAAGCTAATCAGTGCTCACTCATCAGTAATGGGCCATGGTTAGAATTAGGTGAGAATGGAGCATCTGGAAAACAAAACGCAGAACAAATGGACATGCAGGACATCAAAAGTGATTTCAAAAAATCCCTAGTTAATGGAATCTGTGATTTTGATAAAGGAGATGGTTCTCACTTAAGCAAAAACATTCCGAATCACAAAACTTCCAATCATGTGGGAAATGGTGAGATATCTCCAGTGGAACCACAAGGGACTTTAGATGCCACTCAGCAAGATACTGCCAAAGGTGATCAACTAGAAAGATTTTCTAATGGACCGATATTAACTTGGGGTGGTTCACCATCTGCGTGCAGTATACAGGAGGCTTCAAGTGTGGCAACACAGCAATTTAGTGGTACTGACTTGCCTAATGGACCTCTAGCTTCAAGTTTGAATTCAGATGTGCCTCAGCAACGCCCAAGTGTAGTCGTCTCACCACATTCTACAACCTCTGTTATACAGGGGCATCAAGTCATTGCAGTTCCCCACTCAGGATCGAGAGTATCCCAGTCTCCTGCCCTGTCATCGGAAGTTCGGTCTACAAATGGCACAGCAGATTGCAGACCCGTGAAGAGGCCAGCAGAGGACACTGATAGGGAAACAGTCACAGGGATTCCAAATAAAGTAGGGGTGAGAATTGTTACTATCAGCGACCCCAACAACGCTGGCTGTAGTGCAACGATGGTCGCGGTGCCGGCCGGAGCAGATCCAAGCACTGTAGCTAAAGTAGCGATAGAAAGTGCTGTCCAGCAAAAGCAGCCCCATCCACCAACGTATGTACCGAATGCTCCCCAGGTAAGTCGGCTCTGCCATCGCTTTTGGGAAAATTCTGATGTTTCTCCCTGTCTCACTGTCAGCTCGTCTACATCTTCATGCTGTGCTCCCTTTTTTTGTTTTTCTCCCCAACCCTGGTTTTTGTAGTATTAAGCAATTTTCAGTTCTTAACTTTAACACATAATTTAAAGACTCTTTCAGTTTTCATAGACCCATATCAGTAACACTCTATACCCAAAATGAAGAAGCACTTACTCTTAACCAAACATCTTTCAAAACTTCTAAAAATGTATGTTAATCTCTTTTTGGAGTTTCTTGGGTGTTGTTGAGAATATGCCCAAAAAGGATTTTTGTATTTGATTCTGTATTTGCCTTTGACATGAGTATGTTTGTATGGCCCCTTTAACACAACTTTTATCTAAAGGATGGATCCCCTAAGGGTGTTCTTGTTATATTTATATATGAATTAATTTCATTTCTTAAAACATACTGGTGTGTGTGTGTGTGTGTGTGTGTATGTGTGTATGTGTTTCAGCCATTCTGCTGTTCATAATTCTGTTTTTCGCTCTTTCGTATTCTCATGTTTCTGCTGTTCCCTTTTTTATTGCTTATTATCTCATCTGTGCATTCCTTAGTAAATGAGTGTTTCTTAGGTTAGGATCAGTGCTGCTGAATTGGAACAATCAGCCTATAAAGAATTCAAGGGTGATTGTAATATCTATTTCCAATGACACTGAGACTCGGTGAACAGTTGTCTAGTAGCCTCTCACCTATTTTCTGGATCACTTCTCTTTATCCTCTCTCTAACCTAATTACCACCAGAGCCTACTCATGTCCCTTCTGAGACCATTGCCAACTGCTACCCATTTCTGGCCTGGATTGCTTCTCTTTCTTACAGTGATGACAGCAGATGGGATTGGGGGTCGGGGAGTGGAGGGAGCAGGGTTTGAAAGAGGAAAGAACAAAAAGAAGAGGCCCTTAGCTTCAGAATAGTTCCTTTGTTACTATTTATCTTTCCTCCCGTAAGTGGAGAAAGTCAGGCAATGTTAGTCTGGCTATAAGGAAGGGTTTGGGGGTGAGGTTTTTGGGGGTATAATAAGAGTTTTAATTGATAATATTTCCTACATCTACTCCAAAACACCTGAGCAAGTTAGGTGTTTTTGGTGGTAATAATTAATATTGAGTTATCTGTGGAAAAGAGAGCCTTTTGGTGCAATGGTTAAGACCTGCTCTGCTGTCAGCGGTCTCATCAGTGGTTCAAACCTACCAGTCAATTCAAGGGAGAAAGGTTTGGCTGTCAGCTTTGTAACGATTTTATAAAGCCTTGGGAACTCTATGGGGTACATCTAAGTTTACATTATGCAATGTTAACACATTCTAGGTACTCACTATAGTGGGTTTTTTAGATTGTTTTCTTATATATAATAATTTCCCAATAAATTTTATTTTCCTGACTGACATCTTAGAGCCCTTTATAATCCTATTTGTTATCATCAGCCAAGCCAAAATATAGACTCTATTACTATGGTGGTGTTTCATCGCCCTCAGTTTTTTCTGTGTTTAGTTTTCTTGTCAGATACTATACAGTATTAATACCTCAATACCAGAGAATAAATAATAGAGTAACACAAGGGGGCTTCCAAAAGTTAATGGAAAAATGAAATAAAGGATACTGGAATTTTCCCATGAACTTTTTGAACCCCCTAATATGTGCTAAGATTAAGATCTGTTTGGGGAAGTTGTACTAAAAGCATTTTCTCATTTAATCCTTAACAACAAACTGTGCTTTGTAGAAATCGTTGTACTATTTCAGATAAGAAGATTCAAGATGCCAAATATGTCGTCCAGTGTCGTCAATTAATATGACATAGTGCCAGCATTGAAATACGGGTGTGTCTGAAACCAAACCTCATGCTCTTGAACCACTTAACATTTCCCCCAATACTATTCTAAAAGATTTTTTAATAAGTAATAGGAAGTCCTGTATATAATTTGACCTTTTCTGTTACCAGATGTGACTATTACTTAAGACAATTTTAGGACATGAATGCAACTGCTTATGTATGAGCACATTGGACACATATTCATATCATCAAGCCATAAAGGAATATATTTTATTCATAATCTGAAAACTTTATACTAAATAGCTATGTATTTTCCCCTATAATGTAGTTTATTGAAAGAGCCACATTATTGTTTTCTAATATGGGACTGGGAGTTAGGAATTTTACTTTTTTTTTTTTATGCAGTCAGTATTTATTTGTATTTACTGACATATGTTTCCCTTCTCTATTTTTTAATGTCATTTTATTGGGGGCTCTTATAACATTCCATACATCAACTTTATCAAGTATATCTGTACATATGTTGCCATCATCATTTCCAAAACATTTTCTACTTGAGCCCTTGGTATAAACTCCTCCCCTTCCCCCTCCTTCTCCCAGCCTCATGAATCCTTGCTCAATTATATATTGTTATTAAAAGGGTAGCATGCGTGATAGCCATGGAAATGAGAACCAGAATTGTTATGCAAAGCACTTAGCAGAGTGTGTGATACCTAGTTAAGTTCTCTGGAAATGCAAACATAAGTAAACTATTTTCCATTTCTTGTCCTGTGTTACTGCTTCCTTATCCCTAGGCCCAGTGTGTTCTCCTCTGGAACTCGCCCCCACCCTCCTGTCTTTAGTTTGTAAAATAACACCTTGATTAAAAGTTTTTAAATGGGAAAATTAAATAATTTTTTAATTCGTGAAAAATAATTAGTTTCACACATGCCTTGAGTTTGTGATGGGTCTGTTTCCCACACATTTAACATCTCCAAAATTAAGATACATCTTAACATTATTTAGAGCTACATAAAAGAAGCAGCTTACAGTTGATATGTTTTCTTTAGTGCCACTGCAATATATAAAATAAGTATTTAAATTTTATGGAAATAGACTGTAATTTTATCACTTCTATAAGTATATAAGAAGCAAATATATGTAGTCCCAGTCATATAAAGCTTGAAACAGGAAATGTAATTTGTTTTACAACTTCGAAAAATAACTTACTTCCACCTTTTGTATTTCAGTAATTCATTCCATTATAGAACTATTTATCACCTATTACACACCAGGTATTATGCTAAACTCAGAATCTAGTGTGTAGCAGTGAGTTTGGTTGAAGGGACATAAAGGTTTATAAATCAATCTCTCGCCTATAGGAGAACTCAAGGTCAAGTAAGGGTGACAATACATTAACATAAATATATACTATGCACAAAAATTTTGTGAGAAAATGCCACTAACTTTTTTTCCTCCATTTTCCCACCCAGTCTACAGTTCAAACCCACTAACAACTAAGCAGGAAAAAGATGAAAGTAAAACTGCCCGTTCCCATAAAGACTTACAACCTAGGAAATCCTAAATAGGATTGGTAGGAGTCAGAATTGGTTTGGTGAAAGTGGAGTTTGTTCACTGTTAAACCCCAGCACCTAAATTAGTGCCACTATTCAGTAGAATATATGTTAAATCATATGAATTAATGAACAAATTATATAGAAAATTTTAGTTACCTCAGCATTTTAGGACTTGAAGTATTGTTTGGTTTGTAATGGCATGCCACTTTATATTTTCAATGCATCACCGTACATACATATCATTTATACGTAAAGGATGCCACTAAAACATAAATGAGCAAACCTGATAGCTAAAAAAATAAAAACAAGTATCCCATACATATTACTAAAGAGATTTGAATGTCCTTGTTTAAGAGCTAGTAGAACAGGTGTGTCTAGATAAGATAGGCTGGATAAACAATCTGGAGGAGAAAATAATAGGACTGACGGTCCCAGGGGGAGGTGGAGGAAAGGAAGTGGTGTTAACAAACCCAGGGACAAGGGAACAACAAGTGATCCAAAAATCAATGCTGAGGAGGGTGTAAGAGGCCTGGTAGGGCTTGATCAAGGGTAATGTAACTGAGAGGAATTACTGAAAGCCAAATGAAGGCTAAGCATGACAGTGTGACAATAGGAAAGAGCTAGGAGGCAAAGGGCATTTATATTTATGATGATGGAGAAATAAATTTATGTGCATATATTTATAGGGTTAGTATTAAGATCACAGATGGACATTGGGCCTCCACTCAAGTACCCCCTCAATGCAAGAATACTTTGTTCTATTAACCTGGCATTCCATGATGCTCACCTTCCCAACAAGACCACTGAAGACAAATGGGTGCATAAGAAAATGTGGTGAAGAAAGCTGATGGTGCCCAGCTATCAAAAGATAAAGTGTCTGGGGTCTTAAAGGCTTGAAGGTAAACAAACGGCCATCTAGCTCAGAAGCAACAAAGCTCACATGGAAGAAGCACACCAGCCTGTGTGATCACGAGGTGTCGACAGGAGCAGGAATCAAAGAACAAAAAATCATATCACTGAGAATGAGGTGTGCAGTGCAGAGTGGGGACCCAAATCCCATTTGTAGACAACTGGACATCCCCCTTACAGAAGGGTCACGGGGAGGAGACTAGCCAATCAGGGTGTAGTGTAGCAATGATGAAACATAACTTTCCTCTAGTTCTTAAATGATTCCTCCCCCCACTATCATGTTCCCAATTCTAGCTTACAAATTTGGCTAGACCAGAGGATGTACACTGGTACAGATAGGAACTGGAAACAGGGAATCCAGGACAGATGTTCCCTTCAGGACTAGTGGTGAGAGTGGTGATACAGAGAGGTGGGGGAAGAAAGGGGGAACTGATTACAAGGATCTACATATAACCTCCTTCCTGGGGGACGGACAACAGAAAAGTGAGTGAAAGGAGACATCGGACAGTACAAGACATGACAAAATAATAATAATTTATAAATTATCTAAGGTTCGTGAGGGCGGGGGAAACAGGAAGGGAGGTGGAAAATGAGCTGATATCAAGGGCTTAAGTAGAAAGCAAATGTTTTGAGAGTAATGATGGCAACAAATGTACAGATGTGCTTGACACAATGGGTGTATGGATTGTGATAGAGTTGTACGAGCCCCCAA